GACCTCACCCACAGTGATATGCGCGCCCTTCGATCTTCCCGATTCTGTCTTGACATCGGGCTCGGGTGGGTGAGATAGGAAAGGTTGTGGTAGATGCTGCGCAAGTATGCTTCAACTATAAACTAATTCACGTGTGAGTCACTGTCCCCACATCCACCGTGCCTCGGGACACACATTGATATCGTCGTTCCCGACGGTCCAACTGTCATCTCACCATTCCGACGGAGGATTCTGGGCCAGAACTTTGTAGCAGGTTAATTATGGCTACGTTTGAGGTAGGATAGGTGGTTCTGTCGCCGACCCTGCACGCTTGCGTAAGAGGGTACGCCATTACGTGGAATTGCGCTACCACAGGTCATTGAAGTCATGATAACTAATTACTTCGACTTGTGTTTGCTACTGGTTTCATAATTTGTTAGTTACGCAGCGCAATATTCCGCCATTATCTGAATTACCTTGATAGTTGTCTAAAACATACCGACAAAAACAGGGAAGACGGGAATGGCCATTTCTGGCTTATTAGCCGTCCTCAGCTAGTCGTACCCGACCTCGAAGTGTGGAACATCCGAGGCTTGAACTCGCGACCTGTTAGTTAGAAGTCCACGCTTCTAACCACTGGGCCGCGAGCCCGTTGCCCTGTCGGTTTCGATCGCAGGGAGGGGGAGAAAGAGGAAGAGAGAGAGCCCGTAAGGCACAACGGAACGGGTGAGTTCCGTAAGAACGATCGGTGAGCGCCCCCTACCATTAAAACATAAGAGTCAGCCAGCCCGTGACGTTTTATGACACACTGCACGTTTAGTCACTGAGGTCTCAGGCTCCGTTTTGTGGACGAAAGTTGAACGGGCTTCTCTGCTGACGACGGTCTTGTCCTACTATCTCCGACGTCTTTAGTAGACTCGGCATGGGCTTATGTTGAACAATTAATAAGAAAGCTTATATATAACAAATCGTGGTTCGTCCTGCATTGGTTTTAAATAAGTTAAAAACTGAATCATGCGGAGGTGGAAACTCAGCTCATTCCCTATAGCGTTCCACAGCCGTTCAGTTAACAGGTCCGCAAACTTTATCCTTGGATGGTTTAATAAGGTTCTTTATCACTGAGGTCAAATGTTCTCCTCGGTTTATGACGGGCGCTGTCCCTCTGCATAATACGCGGAAGAGCTGCCGGAAAAGACTATCAACGTCAGAATGGCCGTGTTCGCCTTATATACTACTGTCGTTTCGCCATGTTCCAAAACCAGGCGGGGGTCCTTACTGTCTCGAAGGTGGGACAGAATCGCTCGGACTCTCCTCTACAATCATGACAGAATCGTGAAGGCCTCTTTTGTATGGCTGCATGACACCTGTCCCACAGGTTATCGGTTGGCATGGTTCTGATTGGGCAAGCCGTACAATAAGCCTTGTAAAATGGATTAACGAGGTTTTTGTTTCTTAAGTGCATCTGAACGATTTTCAAGGGTTGTTGAGGTTTGAACATTTCATCGTTAGTAAACTGCTAGGGGTTTGATGAAAAACTGGAAATAAAATGTGGACTCATAGCCAGAAAACATAATTCGGAATCACATTGAGGGTTATACAGGTATTGGTGAGATGCTTTGTGCCATCAACAGTAAATAAATTGCCCTAGATCAGTTTGGCCACTCCAAGCTCTGCAAACCAGAAAGAGTTGATGTATACAATCCGAAAAAGGAAATGGCAGATGTAACACATAAATTGTGTGTTAGAACACCTGAATCAATAACTGAGGTGCTTTATACGCCTTGACGAGGAAAAATACTCAGTCCAGTTCACCGCTCTAAAATCCATGGAATCCACTTCCATATGAATTAATAAATCGTCCCATCTATTGAAGGCCCCCAAAGTGTCTTAGGTGAATATTATTTGGGAACTTATCCTTTCAGTAATGAATACGTGATTGACTGTCTTTTCTGCTTGAGTGAAATCCCTTTTGGTTTTAGAAGAAAGAACGGATGTAAAGATAAGCTATTGTAGTCAATTTGTGGAGCATCACGCTGACGCGAACATATGAAGCAGCCAAGATCTATACTGATAAATTCTTTAAACATCAGGTGTGTTTTCAAATGTCAAAATTTCTCTGAATTCCTTATTATAAATCTGCCCTGAATAACATCTTACAGTTATTTTCTTGTTGATGTAAAGCGGGACTACGTATCGCCTGAAAAGTTCAAGTGCACTTGGACCCAATGGCCTGTCTCATCAACAGCTTTATGAAACGCTAGAATGTTACATTTCGTGCATACTCAAGCTACGCTCGCAATCAGTTCTCAAATTACGATATTTTTCAAGCCTGACCGGTCGAATTTTGTGTGAAGCACATTCAAAAAAGACGCACTTTCTTACAACGCGATTATGGGAGATAGGGGCTTTATCGAAAATTTCAGAACAAAATAACTGCTTTCAAACGCGTACCGACAACACAAAGCATGCTGTTTGATTTATTTTTTTTTTCAATGCGAAGACACCGGCTGTTGCATGAGGATTCTTGCCGGAAAGACGGCATAGGAAGTAACTCTGAACTGTATTTCAAATCTGTCAGTATTTTAGAGGATTTCAGTAATATTTTCTCCGCGAACTCACAGCTAAGGTTTTCAGTTAATCGTGAGTTCCCGCCATATACAAAGAACGACCTGGGAGACACTGTAAATGGACCACCAATGCCTACATCCATCCCTTCGGCCAGCCATAAGCCTGACCAAACCCACGACCGAACATCCGCTCCGGATGCGCAGACGGACCTGTAACGGCAGGCAGTATTGTTTTTGTTTAAAAAGAAAGTCGGATTTGTAGAGAGGCTGAAGTTTTGGACATGACTCTCTTTGTCTTGCAGGCAAGTTCAGTGAGCCAAGTGTTACTGAAAAAAGTGGATCCTGTGGACGTCTTGTCCTCCGATCCTCGACAGGGAACTACCTACTGTTCCCCCCTCCTCGATTATTTGTTGTTGCCTATTTCTATAGTCAAGTCTTATTCTCTGCCTTTTTGTTTGCCGTCCCTCCATACACGTTTATTAATTTAACATTCTCTTTTGCTAATAAATAGCGCTCTTGCCTGGAATAGGGTGAGTGAGGAATGAACGGCGACAACAGGTTATCCTATTCAGAACCAAACAACGACTCCAAAAAGAGAGCAATTATGGGGGGGGGGGGTAACAAATCAAGAGCCCTGTGCCGCAGGAAGCATAAGACAGGGAAGATTCTTTTCTACAACTGACCGCAGATGTCGGTCAGTCAGCTAGTAAGTGGTCACCTGTTCGAGATTTATTTTCCCTGAGGAGTCAAACGGATTGGTATTGACCCACTGCCATGTGAACTGCAGTCAATGTTTCCCGAGTTTCGGAGCAAACTAATCATCGGTCAACGAAGTCCAGTTCTTTCTGTCTAGTAATATGTTATTAATTACGGTCCAGAATCCCAGTCCATCTCAGGTTCTTAAAATCACGCATAATCTGATTGATTTAGCGACAAAGGGTTTTGCTTTTTCCAGGATTATTGGATTCCGTTTAAAACTACGAAGGCACTTGGTGTGAGTGTTAGGCTGACTGTTTAACTAAGTTTTCGTTTACTTGCCAAAAATAGAGCTTTCTCCGAGGGATAAGGAAAGTTTTCTCGAGCTTCGTTTATATATAATTTAAATATTTTGAGAAAACTGCCACTATTGTAAAGCTTTGGCTGGCATATATTCTTCTTGCTTAGTTGGTCGGTAAAGGAAAGCGCTGTCTATCGTCAACAAGCGAATGAGTGGCGTTCAGGCAGTTTAAGAATGGGTCTTGCGCGTCTATTTGGACTACTTCATATACAGGACTTGATCATCCAATGTGGAAAATAGCCGATGCCCGCCCCGTAGTAGCCAGTACATAGACAAATACATATGCAGACAGGTGCAGGTAAAACATCTCATGCGAATTAAGAGTGACAGTAGGGAAGAAAGCCAACTCTAACTAGAACATGCATCCTTTCTAAAAAAAACAGAGAAATGAGAAGAGGCTCAAAATCCTCGGAAATACGGACTTTGCCTTTTATTCTACCCTAGGTAGCTAACCATGCCTGAAGGGCCGGGAGTTCTTCTGCACTGTCAACTTACGTGAGTTATAACCTAAAGAACAAACTTTAACTAGCCATGGAATGGTAGGAAGTTCTGAATTAACCAGTCACCGATTTGAAAATCCCTAAAAAAGTAATCGGCGAGGTTTTTTGTGCGACAGAACGAATTTTCCCGGCATTTCATCCACACCCCTTCACTCACGCCTTAGAGCCGGGAGAAGTAGAAAGTTTGCCTTGCGTCCTTGACCGTACATGGCAAATTGCAAAATCCATACAAATCGGTTTTATTCTGTAACGCTGGAAAGGCCATTGATTCTACTGGAGCGTGCGTACACTCCGAGGCACTGCCGTTGAGATAGTACTTTCACAATCTCCTTCAGAATAGAGCATTGACATCAGTTATTTGGTTAGACGGGAGATTGTATGAGTGCGACAGGATGATGTATAGTTTACTTTGTTCATAGAAGGTGAAAACATAGAGAACAAAAGACCACCAGAGAAGGTAACTGCAGAGAAGCTTTGGGAAACAAGAAGTTAGGACACTGTTTTATCAGATACCTAACCCCCGACAGGAAAGGAATAAACGATGTACCGATTGAACGTGACTGCGACCTGAGAACGAGCCCGAGCCATTTAGGCATCAGTCAAACCCCCACTGAAAGGTGATTTGTTAAATTATAAACGGTAGTCCACCTGATTTTTTACTGCGGAGTGCGTATTTGCTACCAGTGAGACCTACTAGACGTGAACTTGCAGTTCTTGGAGAACTTAAGAAATTTCCGTTCGGTAACGAGAAAAACGTCTTAGTGGCTAAAGAAAATACAAAAAACAGGGAGGTAAGCAAGTTTTATTTGAAAATTTTAACGAGTAGGAAGCAGGTTACTTTAAATACCGGTAAAAAAAGACATGCGGGGGAGGCCGGCGTCAGCAGTGATCCCCTCCTCAGAAGGCGGACTCTTGCTGAAGAATCAAATAAATAGGGCTACTGAAATGTGAATGCTAGTAGCAGGTCTTCAAATAAATGAGAAAGCGGAGTGAAATTGCATCTCATGTCAGGAAAAGGCTAAATTTATGTGCGCAGGTTGACTACTGAGGAAAAAAGGCGGGTGGAACTCGAAATAAAAGGTGTTGATGGAGAATTCAATTCACACTCAGGACAGATAAATTATTTTTCAATATCCACCAGTATAATCTCTTGAAAGATTTGATTGTTACCCAGGTTCCCAGTCTGATCACTAGAGACAGTCAAGGAAAATTCCTTGGATAGAGAAGTTCATTTGTAACCTTTGGAAGTTTGGTAAAAATAATCTGCCGTGGAATGATGCGTTTGGAGTGTACTCCTCATTGTGCCCGTAATAGTTTATACAGTGTTTTAGAACTAAATTTCTAACGCCGCCTTAGGTTGATGACTATTATTGCGAAATATAACATAATTGCTTACGTACGAGGAAATAACAACTACTAGAAGAAAATGTTGGCTTCATCCGATAAAAAATCAGCTCAGATTTAAATTCCAATAATTTCTCCACAAAAAGACATTCTGGCAAAAGTACTCACTAACTACTGATTACGGTTAGGGAAGATGAGCCTGTTCCAAAGGCCCTTAAATGGAACCAAAGGACAGAAGCACATTTTACGCTATTCGTGTACGTTTCCTTCAAAACTGGCCGGGCTTATTTTTGAATTGTCTGGAATAACTGACGCCCGTTCACCCCAGGATGCAGGGGAAAAGGTAGACAATGCATAAACTCTGCATGTTGCTATGGAAACTGCCCGACGATGAAGGACACTATGAGAGAAAAAGTCAAAACTCCTCATTACGATGCTCAAGGCTTTTCAATAGGCTAGGAGATTGTTCCTGGCAACGCGTAAACTCATAGAGACAAGTAAGTGTCTCTTTGGGTGACTAGCTTTGTTGTTTGTTGTCTTTAGTCCAGGAATCAGCGATCACTGGTGAAGATCAGTTTCGGAGCACATCCCCTAAACGCTGCATACTGTACCCGGTTTTAGTGAAGACTACCCAGTTTATTTCTTTACTTCAGGCACTACACTCGATTCTGAAATCCTCCTCTTAACTGACCAGTGGGAAAGTATTGAAAGTTCCTTAACGCCCTTGTCAAGCTCACGATTTTCGGGAAAAGGCGAAGGGATCTGGGATTTGAAAAGGTTTCGACAGTGAGCGTCTGACGGTTAAATTATCGATAAATTATGCGTGATATGAAGAGCGTACGGTCGATGATTCTACCAGAGGCACATTTCTTTTGTATCTCTTTTCTAAATAATAAAATGGACGTCTTGGGGAAGAGACTAGTGATGAGTTAGCTTTGAAAGGACCTCCCAGTATAAACAAAATAATTTGAGGTCATCCATTTGTCTTTTTGGATACCGATGGTGGACATGCCCCGAAAAAATAGGAAATTTCCCAGAACAAGTGCAATTACCTCATCAGGACTGCATTTCTGCACCCAGTTGCCACACTGCTCCAAACGCCGATGCATTTCACGCTCTTCGGCTTCTGCTTCCAATTCACCGTCATAAGCCAGGTTCTGTGCACCATTCAGTTCTGGAAGACAGTATAAGATACCATCAATTCTAAGGCTTGAAATTCTGCTCCCCACAAAAAGTGACCAGTTTTAGTACAGTTAGCGTCCAGTGCAGGAGAAACAAATTGAAGAAATTTTAGAGTTTGTGTGAGGGTCTTCACAATTAATTAGAAGTATGATTGGAAATGCTCAGCCAATTGAGGAATGCAATAACGTGACTATGTTATTAAAATGTAATTGACAAAACCACGTTAGCTATATGAGGAAATTGGGAACTTCTTGGTTAAAACTGCTAAACGTACTTACTTCCAGTAATCCCACAGAGCGCGTGACGTTAATTACGGGGTTGAAACATAAAGTGGTGGAAATCAATCCTTTTGAGTAAAAAGTATTCGTTGTATTTGACGCGCATTCCGTTTAATAAGAAAAGCTGACCTGTTTACATATGTGTTGTGTCACCGATCGAAGGATGGGGAGGAGGATGATCAATCTATTTTGTTTTCTGCTTTCACGTATTCTTTAGTATCCCCGATTGCAGTCGACAGGACGCTAACTCCTAGCCCACTGGCGACTGGCACTGAGTTCGCCGTCGGTGTCCTCTTAGGCATGGTTGGCCAACAGCAGCACATAAGTTAGACATGATTACTCTAATGCCGCTTGCTATGTCGACACTACTTCCATGCTACTGATTGTTTTTTTGACATTTGCCTGCAAGCGAGAACTTTGGCTTGGTAGTACGTTACTCCCCACGGTGGGATTTTTGAAGTTTCCCTAACATATGTTTTTGGCCGATTGCATCCGACAGAAAACAGACCTGTAGTTCAGGTAAAACTCGATGATCTCGAGTCTTCCCACACGTAAGCGTGAGAAACAGTCAACTGACAACAGAAATAAACTTTAAAGGGGTTATTCTGGTCTTATTTGTCATGTATTCTATGCTTTATTTATTAGGAAACTAATGTTATTGCAAAAGCTAGTAGGATTTACCTCGCAAGTCGTTTTGGCATCCATTTCGGCGAATCTGGGAGGTATCATTTCGCCAAGGAATTGAATGCGTCTGTTTTAAAGCGGATAACGGAAAATGGGACTCTGAGAGATTGAAAGTTTCGTTTAATGGGGGTAGTCGTCGATGGGAAGCATCTGCAAACGATAGATCCAACCCAAGAACTGGTAGACTCGAGCTATGTCTTCCACCATAGGTACTTTCGTCTACCGAGAAGCTGTCACCAGCCTGGAAGGCTTGGAACGCCTGTCTTAGTTGACTGATTTCCACCTCATTAAGGTCAAGTCGATGTTGAAGATTGTTCACCGTGTGCTGATGAAAAGATTCCTCACGCTGAAAGTACGCAATAGTTTGTCTGTATTTGCCGCTCTCCCGATTTGTCAAGCCTGGTTTAGCAAACAAACAACAGAAGTGATAAAGAAAAAACTAGTCATGGCGATTTTCCTATGTAAAGTAAATAAATAAACGCTGCAATTGCATAGGCCAAAGACAGAGGGAACTCCAACAAGTACTATAAATAAGCGAAGTCTGGTTTTTTGGCTGTCGTACGTTCTCGCCACTTTTGTTAGGACTCACACCTGTTACAAAACCCCAATAGACATTGGGTAAAACAAAGAAATGTCCCACTTTCATCACTCGAGACGTGCGATCGTTCAGATCCATATTTCTATTTAAAAATGAAATGCCCATATTCCATCATGAAATCAAAATGAATTTCATTCCCGCGTGACTGTCACAGTTATGCTTGTCTCGGAAGATTTGGACGATTCATTTGATCCAGTTTTGAACAACTTGGCGGCAAAAGCAGCACGACAGCTGGAGCGAGGCTGTCATCGTTTCATATCCCACCAAAGCTGACGAATTCTTCCAAACTGGGTCAGCTGTATTACATTATTAAATAAGGTTGCAACTCTGCATATGAAAGTAAGCCCTTGTTTATGATTGATTCCATGTATATAAATCCTTATTAACTTGAGATATAGTGACGAAAAATAAACAATACAAGCTTATTATTGACTCATTTCATAGGAGATTTTCGGTCAATAAAAACACATTTCTATTGAGTGATTAGTGGAAAACTCAGCAATCTCAGCAGAAATCAAAGACGAATAAATCTGGGCATGAATTTAGCGCAGCGGACCTTTTGAGCATTTGAGTAACTGCCACAATGAGAATCCTGTCTAAGTCCTCAAACCTTTTGTTATTGGAATAGTTAAATCATTTGAATCATCCACAAAAAGCATATGGGAAATATATTTGCAGAAATAACTGAACAGCAATGTTTCAAAATATCAGGAAGGACGTAGAAGACAAACCAGGTGATAGTTGGAAAAAATGCAACGTAGGCGAAAATGCTTCATATAAAGCGCATATACGGATCTTCATCTAAATAATGTAAGATCATTATGGGCAGTTTCGTACTACGTTACTTACTAATGCGCCCTGTCGGATAAGAAATCAAGGCCTTTGTCAAAATAAAGACGGCACTCGAATATCGTCATCTCGATATAGTTTCACATTCAAATAAAGAGTACGCTTATCTACTAGAAGTTGAAAAAACACTTGCTTCGAAATGTGTGCAATTGCATCATAGGACCACACGAGTGGCATAAGATTGAATATAAACTGGCTTGAGACACGTGTTATGCGATTACTGCTCATGTGGGTTAAAAAATTAAAGTTAAAAGTTTGGTTTTCTGTGCGCATAAAAATCTGGCAACGCATGCTTCGAAATACGGGCCTGGGTCTGTCTTCGGCAGTTGCTGCCCTACAAATAATGCAGGCTATTCAGCAAGTAACTGGATGTCATCAAGATCAATCACTTTTGTATTTAAGAGATCTGTCGACAGGAAACAGGTCGTCAAATTAATGAGTGGTTTTCTCTGTTTGAAATGTTCCAAATGCGCAAGGTACTATGAAGTAACATGATGAAGCCCTCTGTCTGCTGTGTCCCAAAGCTAGGCCTTTACGTTAGACGAGCTGGAAGGTTTATCTTTCATAAAGGCGTCTTTCTAGCGTTTTTGAAGAACTTTTTTAAAAAGTAGGGCAGAGGAAGTGACAAAGTTTCTCTTTGATACGTCTGAACACGAAAACTTAAGTGAACACTTTGAAGAGTCGGCCCAAAAAATTGAACGGGTTCATAAATTCCCGAAAAAGTATTTCAACTATTAGCGGAAAGTCAAGGGCTCACTGATGTATTTCCAAGATTATCGAGCGTATCTAAGCCGATCAATGTTTTTCGCTGACAAGTACGAAGTGAAGCAGTGCTAAAGGCACCAGTTCATCGACTGTTAAAATCATTCAAATCAAGGTTTTATTTTGCGTCCACCTTCAAAAAGTCTGCATCTATACTCTTACATAGCTTCCCATCTGGTGTACATGCAAGCGGGGGCACATGCAAATTTGTCTTTTATCTTGAGGCATCGTTCCATTGTGAATGGACTTTGCTGAGCTATCAAGCAGTTTCTACCTAAGAATAGGCCTATTAAACTTTGAGTTTTAACGAAATATCTCAACTAAGGAGGAAAACTGTTAGAAGAGCCAATTTTGCCAGGGAACCAGATAATTTCTCGAAATTTTAGGGCGTATCTTGCGACATATTTAGACTTGCCATTTTATATAAAACGTTTTAAAAGTTTGGCATATATATACTTACTGGGTACAATTAATTGTACCCAGTTAGCAAATTGTTTAATTTGAAAAAAGGATTTTTTTAAAAAATTGGAAAACTTACCGAAACAAAGACGCGGTAAACGCATGAGTCTTAGAAGACTTAAAAATAAACAGCCATCGCATATGACAATATTGACTTTTGTGAGCGTTAGCACAATAATAACGCAGATTTGTGCAAAAACAACGACCGCATCAAGTACCTAAAATATTTTAGATAACACATTAGGAATGCGGTAGTACAATAAAGTTTTATGTTCTTAATACGTCAAACATGTGCATTTGATCTTTAAAGAGCGATAAAACAATATCATGATTATGCAGAGATCATGATCAAGAGTGATAACTTTCTATTCTAATTCGAATTAGAATCTGTCGTAAGTCGATCGAGTTACAACAGAAAAAACATGTTTTACATGACAGTACCTCAAGAGGAGAGCGGAAGAACCATTTTCTCGAATAAAGGAAACGCAGGATAACCTGGATTTCTTAGAGAGAACTTCAAAGGTACCTCCACAGCGAAAAGGCCCGACAAACATGTGGCGGACAAGAAAAGTACTTGGTCGATTTCCCACGTGTTAGTATAATAGAAGGCGCCCGGCGAAGAAAATGAAATCGCCGATAATTCTTAATCGTATTAAAAACTTGTCTACGTTACCTTTAAAGCCTCCGTGATAAAGTATCAGAATTAGACCGAAGTTTGCATTGACTAAGCTCAATATTAAAATAATGACTTCGACAATGGAGCACCCAGAGAATTTAAGAGGATTTACAAGCTGGGATCTGAAACCGTTTTTATTGGAAATAATAATTGCCTCGAATGGACAATTTGATCATGTTCAGGTTGAAGCACTTTAAGTAAACAATGCTTGAATTTCCTCATTTTTTCATTCTGACGTTTGAATGCGTTGGGTAGGTCATATTGAAAGGTCGGTTCGGTTCGTTTGCCCAAGGTCAGCATGGCGTTAATGCTAAGGATTCCCGTCCGCTCCAGTGCGTCCGTGTTCGGGGTCTGGTCCTGCCACCTCAGCTTCTGTATCTACCAAAGTCATGTGAGGTTGAGAGAATTGAGTCCTTACATTTCCTCATACAACGTCCAGGTTTCCAGTTAATAGCAGTTTACAAAAGATAAAATTACTCGTCCACTTTTATCGTTATTTTTTTTAAATCGTTTCTCCTAATTTTGCCTTTTTAAATTATTCTGATCCCTTTAATAAATTTTGAATGCTTTACCACGTCCTTATTTGCTGTTCCATCGTTTCTGCGTTCCTGGATATACTTGATTTCCCTTGCATTCTCCACCATTTAATACACCCCTCTACATTATTAACACCAGCGTAAGCATTCGTGCTTTATTTTGTTTTCTGTTCTTCCTTGAACATCCACCTTCTAACCATCTTCTGTGCGTTTAGGTGCTCGTCGGGGATAGTACTCCAATTTGTCCTTTTTTGGGTCCCCTCTCGGTTCGGAGCCAGTGGACTTTAATTCGAACCCTTAAATCCTTAATCTTTAACTCTTGACACTCACAAGGATATGTTGCTGCAACTCTTTTATTTCGCCATCCCTTCGAATTGGAATTCTTAAACTTACACAAATACCAAATTGTTTTCTCCTGTTATCTGTGTTATTCACAAGTGCACGTCCCATTGAGCTAGTATACTAGCTACTTACCAGAATGATGACTACTCCATAGCGGGTCCAAAACCAAAGAGTGGAAAGTGTTTCAAGATTATCCGTTAGAAGAAGGTGATCGGGAAGTGTGCTGTTGGCCTCGGGTAGTGTCCAAGAGAATGTGACACTGAGTTGTCAGCTGCTTTTATGGGCTTGTGGGTGCAAGTCCAATCCTCTCTGTGCCCAAATGGCGTTTGCGGTTTTAACCAGAAAGTGACATGCTGAATTTGGACGGTGACGAATTTTCCGGTTGAATGTGTTCATATGCGCACGCTGCAGTCGGCCAACACAGGTCAACACGCGTGGACCTGCTTGCTGTGAATGTGAATGGACTAGATACAGCAAGGCAATGCAAAAAGGCACCAGACATTGTATTTTTGGCTGTCAGCCGAATTAATATCTTGTGAAGAAGGAGACACGATCGCTGGGACAAGAGCTTTGTTAACCTGACCTTTCGCATCCCTGCTTGAACCCATCATCAGAGACAGAAGCAGATAAGGGTGGTTCATGCACAAGGGGCTGCAGTCTTTATAGGATGCAGTCGCCATGTTGCCATATTCCTGTGAATAATCACGACTCTTCCCCTTCATCAGGGATCGTTGCATTTGGTGTGATGACTGTTTGATAGTCGACATTCGCGTCGTTAATTGATGCAATTTCATCACGTGTGTTGTATGTTGGTTTGCTGATTGCTCGACCATTCAAGCTGCTAATCCTGACGTCGGGAAGGGTGTTCACCTGTGCGCTCCCCACGTGGCACACGTGATGAATTACAACCTGCTGACAATTCTGAAAATGACTTTATCTATGGATTTCTTAATACCTGTTTGAACAACTATCGAGAACCCGATTGCGGCTTGGATCCAGACTGAGGTGTTTCGATCCCGGCCGAGACTGGCACTCTAAATCAAAATCCCGCAATATTTCCTGCCATCGTGTGAGTTGATCCATTGGGTTTCTGAGGGACCTTAACCAATGAAGTGCTCTATGGTCTGTTCGTAAAAAAAGACGTTTGGTTGCGTAGGCAGCGTTGGAACCGTTGCATAAACGTGACAATAACAATTAAATCTCGGCGGAAGGTACAGTAATTTTGTTGCGTTTTAGTGAGCGTATTTCTATCAAAACAAATAGCATGCTCTAGTCCGTGTGTGTCTGGTTGAAAAAGGACTGTTCCAGTGGCAAAACCACTAGCGTTTTTGTTGAGGATGAACGGTGATGTATCGCGTAGAGTGTTGGCTAGGGAAAGGACAGGGGCTGAACATGGAGTTGCCGTCAAAGTATTGAACGTTTCGGAACACTCAGATGTCCATTTAAATTTTCTACTCTTCTCCGTAAGTTTATTTAGAGTTGCAGATAAATTTCGTGTAATACGATACGAGTCCGATGAAAATATGCACTTAAATCTGGTTCGGAGGTGTTGGCTTGTTTTGGATCTGTTGGGACCTCCCAGGCAGTGTGAAAACATGTCCAAACGAGATATAATAGCCTAGGAAATTGAACTCAGATCTAAAAAGTTACATTTGCCAGGTTTCAGGGTTAAACCGACGTCTTAGAAGACTATGAGAACTTGTTTCAAGTTAGAATTGTGTCCTTCTCTCGTCAGTCCAATGATGATGATGCCGTCTAAGTAAATAAAGCAGGTGTGAAGGAATAGGTGTTGGAGGACTTCCTGCATAAGCCGTTTGGAGGTGGCGACGGCATGACACAGCTTAAATGGGAGAGTCTAACATTCACGGAGACTCTACGGCACAATGAAACCGACTTGTATCTACCTCTTGAATTAATTTCTACCTGCAAAATCTCGACCTGGCGTTCAAAATGGAAAACCACCACCTAAAGTGTCGGGTGTATCATCGATGCGGAGTAGTGGGAAAGAATCACGAACCGTGACCGCGTTTAAACGACGACAGTCCACACAGAGTGTTGTTTAATTTCCGAGGAAATTAATGTGCGAATTTGGAGCAAACTCTTCGGAACAGACCGTTCTTGGAAAGGGCCGGTTTCATGTGACGAGCACTTTCCACGTCTATGATAAGTAATGGGCAGACTGAAGGCACATACACGCAAACAGGAGCAAACGGCCTAAACTTAAGATTAAGATCATGTCCACAGCGCCGCAGTGTTAGTCCGAAAGCAGTACAGTACTGGCAACCAGGATGGTAGTCAGGTAATCGTACTGGCAGTTGACGGGTTGATCTGCCGGGTGTAACCTGATATTCTCTGTGTACGTCTCCCCTCACTGCTAGTGTACTGACTCGTGCGTGGTAATTATCATAAGCAGTGGTATGTTGTGGAACTTAACCTCGCAACCACTAACATCAGACCAGTGTAGTACAGAAATTGTGGTAATAGGGTTTTTACGGGTGGGACATCACCGCGAAAGGAGAACGAAATGAATGCAATAAAACATAAAAATGAATAGATTTCCATTTAAATTCTTCTTCCACACCTACACCTTGAAAGCGGTAGTCGAGAAATAAACAAAAGCAGCCCCTTATAAAAAAAGCTAAGTGAATAAACCGCCGGTTGCATACTTGAAGCAAGTCAGGAACCAATAGAACAAACAACCAGTGGGAAAGAAGGACAGCAGGTCCCGAACAGTGGAATAGTGAAAATTTACCGCGAGGCTACGTAAAGCACATGAACATAAGAGGAGCTACGGAATTACCCCCTAAGGAACACGAAAAGTGTCAAATAACGGTAGTAAGATTGCAGGTCTTTATTTGTATAATAAGGCAACTTGGTAATGTGATATAAAGACTGGGGGAAAACTAAACCTTGTTTGCAAAGGTTATGCACAATAATGAAATGCATAAGTGAGCAGAGTAGGTAATAACGCTTATTTCCTTTCCTTCCAAAACACAGACCATCGTCCCCAGCTCCCAGAAAAGTCAGATAACCGCAGCTTGATTTTCTGACGAAATCGGAAGAAATGGCCGAAACCATAAACTCCGAATAATGCCAAGCAAGGGGACTGTTACCTAAAGTGGCAAAGTTCCAATGTAGACGCCAAATGCGTCAAAATTCAACTCTGTATAGCAATCATACCAAGCATTCCCAGGATCGAACCGCAGAAAAACACACTATTGCGACTGATGCCTATTAAAGCAGACCGAGACTGTAGCTCTACAAAGCAGGACTTGTGTCGTTTCGTTCAATATAGGTCTACGTAGACGGTGTTCAATATTGTTCGTGGTTTGGCTTAGGTAGCGTAGGCTTATAGCAAACGTGGGAAATATTCCTGTCACATATTGGGAAAGCATATCCAATGCAACAGCTTTCCGAACGGGGAACATGAAGGGCTCCTTCCTGAAGGAAATCTAAAGAACATTTCTAAGCAAATTATTATACACAAACTCAACTAAATCTTAAAGAAGTATACAAGTCACAGCGCACGCGTTTGACAATGAAACGGTTTGGAAATGTCGAGGAGGCCGAGCGTTTATGTTCTAACCGAGGCGAAGTAACCCAGTATGCAGCCGGCGATCCATACAGCAAGCGTCATATGGTAAGTACCGACATGGCACAAAATGCTTAGCCACTCTTTTGGAAGAGATGAGTAAGTTACGCTACACGGAGTCGACAACGAAAGGCAGTGCAAGTATATTAGGAAACCAGGGAATCAAGGAAAGGCACATCGGATCACTGAGAGGGCGAACAAAAACCAAAGGCCACCTCGTGCCAAATAAATTATCACTAAAGTAGAGGTCGCACTGGAATAACTCGGTACATGTGATTATATCAATGCGCAAGATAACACCCAAGGGGAAACTTCCGGTAGCTATGAATAAAAAACCAACTATGGCCTATCAAAACAAATATAGTATTTGGTTATGCATATTAAACCCTGTGGGGTTGCAAAACCATCCGTAGTTTATTATACAGCATTATCGCAAGGCCGTCACGAGGTCCGGCGTGGATGAAGTAAGAAAATGTTTATAGCCGCACAATCACGAGGGCCTGTCCTGAACCGGAAAAGTGCTAGCTTTTCGTGAGCAGCTAGTAGTTAATTAGGAAACGCGAGCAAACCCTACCGATTCGGCTGTAGAGCAAAGTCGTCCGCAGACTTCTGTGGTGTCTGTTCTAGGTTGAAGAATCGCTCGCCAGCAGCCTTGGCCGTCAAATGGTTGTCAAACAGTTTAATGAGAGTATCTTTCGCGATGGGG